ACTTTCTTTCTCTGCTGCCTGGTTAGCTGGTTAGCTGGTTAGCTGGAGAGCTGGAAACGTCTTACATCAGCATGCCGTCATGTTTTCCAAGGATGATCAGGAGGACGGTGATGAAACTAGAAAAAAACTATTTGTGTGTCTGTCAAAAACCTCAAAGATCCGCCGTATGAGAGCCGAGAGAGACAAAGAGGGCAAGATGACTGAACTTTCCTTTTGCTGTGTGTGTGTGTGTGTGNGTGTGTGTGTGTGGGTGGTAATGTGGGGGAACTAAATATTCTTGTGGTTATTCTCCCGTAGGGGAAAAGCAGGTCTATGAAGTGTGTAAGCTGCTCAGGCTGTGTGTACATGTGGGCGGTAGTGGTGATTGACAGGCCGTGACCAAGTGCCTCTCATTCCCATCTGCACACTGAGCTTCCGATCCGACAGTGCTCCAGATCAATCAAAAACTTCCTGGATGGGAATGTTGAGGAAGCAGGAAAACACGACTCGCTTCCCTGGTTTTACACCGACCCAGACAGATAGATCGATCCGCGGCCCGTCTCTGCTGCTTAAAAACGACACCAGACAACCGCTCAGCGCTGAATCTCAAACGTTCTCCAAATGAACTCAAACTTTGCTGTAGCTGAAGTTTGCTGCTGCAGCTCCTCTGTTCTCGCTGCACATATCCAGCAGTTACACAGCGAGGCTTGTTTTACCTTCACAGAACACAGGGCGGGCGGGTCAGAACCACCCAGTCCGATTCCATCTTATCGCCACTGTCTGTGTTTTATTGTTCTTGTTTTTATTTATTTTATTATTAGCATTGTTGTTGTTTTCTTTCCTTTTTTAAACTCTCTGCTCTGCTGGATGTTTTATGTGAGCGGGACGCCGGATGGAAACCAGCCTTGTGCTAAACCCGTTGTATTTCCTACAGCCTGAGGTTGTACGTACATGAATACACACTGTCCCGTCTCAATACACAAATAAAAAAGCTCTTCAGATGTTTCCTCTGGAGCCTCCAGTCAACGTGTGACTGCTCCAAGAGGCAATAGTTGAGCCTTTTTCTTAAAATAAAATGTAAACCTTCTCTTCTGAACAGAGAGCTCAGATGTGGTTCCTGGGATCTGCTGAAGCCCCTCCACCAGTCTGGGGAGCTTCAAATGAATCTCAGGATACATTCAGTACATTTCTCAGAGCACAGGCGTTTAACGGGCTTCTGTAGGAAGGTGTGGGTGTCAGGAAGAGAAGGTCAGGAGGTCACAGTGAAGAATGCATCTCCTCCTGCTTATCTTCAGTTACGTCTCCAAGAGAGCCGTAAATGGTGATTTTGTCGTGGCTCTATAAATGTCCCCCATTTGGGATGACAGTGCTGTCAGGACACTGGGATTTCTGCTGGATGGAACTGTTCCGGCCCATGGTGTTGTGCTGTTTTGGTTCTGTGGACTTATGATCATTGTGAGGGAAGATGGCCTGTGAAGGCCCAGCTGTGACTGAGAGCTGCTCCAGAACCACACCTGCCAGTCATCTCAGCTAATCATCCTGGAGCTGAAGACCTGCACTCCAGCCCCAGTTCGCCCCGCCTCCGGTCACATCTGATTGGACCAGCACCACTCCTCCTCCACCCAGCAGTCACCACACCTGGCTATAAAGCAACCAGAACCTCTCAGTCGGGCTGGCTGGGGTTCAGTGTGACCAGTCCGTCCTGGTGCCTCTCGCTCGGTGTCTTTGTGGTGACGTAGCTTCTGTTGGCAGCTGCTGACTCGGTGGAGAAGTTCCTCGTGTCTTCGTATTCTGTGTTTTGAGGCAGCAGTTTGTTTGAGTTTCTTCTGTTCTGTGTGGTTGTGGCTGGATGCTAGCTGCCTCCCTAAGGCCCTCCCATGTGGCACCTACGACCCATAACTTCAAACAAATCCCAACAAACTGGCAGCTGTTAAGTGACCCAGCATGTCAGACCACCACCGGCTACTGAGCAGCAAATACAGTCCAGGAAGCTCAGGCCTTTCCACAACGTTCATCAGTCTCACCAGGTTGATAGAGATGGTAGCCATACGTTCCTTCAGCCATTTGTTTTACAAACAGGAACCGGCATCTGGATCAGTGGACAAAGCAAGACAAGCAGTTAGTTTACAGAAACAACAAACCAGATCTGTGTGGCCATTAATCAGTACGAACTTCTCTACGTTTTGGTTTGTTATATGATCCACTACAGCACCTGGAACAGTAACGGCCTTCACCTGTATCATAAACAATCATTGATTTGAGGCGTTTTTGTGAATTTCTTGCTATTGATGGTGGAGAGATGAAGGAAATAACAAATGGTCTGGCTGACTGGACTGAAACCAGAGACTCGCTGCTAAGGCTACTGATGGCCACGATGCCTCAGAAATGATGAATTCCTTTATTTTTCCTTTATTTATTCAATCATGGGTCTCAACACAAGATACGAAAGCATCATCGATAGACTGTGGATACGAGCGATGTCGTTGACCTAAATTAACATGTTTTAATGGTAGTTCTCTTTCCTTTTCACTATTTAAATTAATTTATAAATAAATAAAATGCTGTCACTCCAGATCCCAGGTTTTTTCTGCATGTCTAAAGCATTCTTCTTTCATGTTGTAATTTCAGATTACACCACAGGATGGCAGCATTTACTTGTTCTTCATCAGAAAGCATTCCAGCTGCTGCAGGACAGCTCCTGCTCTGTGGGAGCTTTTATTGACACCGTAGTCTTTGATGTGGATCATTATCTACTGCTGTAGGTGTAGAAACTCTGCTGGTTCCTGTTTAGACCTGCTGGTGGCAGCATTCAGCTACATACGGTGCAAGTTTCATTTAATGCATGAACATGAATTGATGTTTATCTTTTACAAACTGCATTTAAAACAAAGGTTTCATCAAATAGATAACCGCTGTATTATAATGTAATATGGATAGCAGGACATACTGAAAGCTTTTTGTTTGTTGTGTTTTGAGCTTCACTCTTGGTGGACGCTGGGTTTTCTATTCATCTGAATGTTCACAGTCAGCACCTTGCTGGCAGCTCTGCCAACACTGGTGTGTGAATGGGTGAAGGACCAACACCCTGTAAAGCCCTGTGACCCGTCCAACATGTTTGGGGCTGTGATGGGCCGAGATGAGACGCCATGTGTGGTCCTCAGAGTCTCCAGCTTTTAGTCTTTCTGTTCTGTGAGTCTGTGGCAGCAGAGGTTTTACTGCACATGGTTTCTCTTTCAAGGAGAAAAGCATCACAGTGGAAACACCTTCTCTTCTCTTCACTTCTGCCACTTTCAGACTCTGCTCCGAGAATCAGACGACAGCTGAACGGGTTGGCTGCATGTGTACAAGCACATCCTGCTCAGTGATCCGTTCATGTTCAGACCCAGTCGGGTCACCGGTACCAGCAGCTCCACTCTGAGCTGTGTGACATGATTCAAGCATCAGCATTAGTGTGAATACATCACAGAGAGGAACGGGTTCGACTGTCTGGTTTGTTCCAAACATCACATCAAATAGCAGCTATGAAATAAAACCAGATACGGAGACACCTGAACAGGTTCCTCCTGGTTTTATAGCTGCCAGGGCTGAATGACTACAGATGAGTAAGAAAGAAGAAGGTTTCTCACACAAACTTTGATTTCTTTAAACATAAAAATAACTGCTGAGAGCATGCAGAGCGTTAGGAGGACGTCATCATGCTCACACAGACACACGTCCACTGTCTTGGTCTATTGTGTTATCTGAACAGCTGACACACCCAGTACCCCCATTTCCCGCCTAAATAGTTGTCACACACACACACACACACACACACACACACACACACACTCACACACGGGTCATAAGTCAAAAAAGGTTTGAATGGCAGGAAGGGTGTGGTATTGTTACCTCTGGACTTCACTGTAATATACGGTGTGAACCTCTTTCTGTGCCACCTAGCTTTAGCTCTCACACACACACACACACACACACACCATGCACACAATCACACCTCATGTGTGCCAACATCTTATCTTCTCATCAGCAGACCTCCATTAGCTTCTCTTCCTACTTTGGCAGGACTTGCGGGTTGGGGTCATGCTTGTGTTGCGGCTGCTGGTTGGACCCGGTACAGCTCTCGGTACAGCTGACCCACCTTTACATCCTGGAAACCAACGAGTGAAGGAGCACAAGGTCTCAGACAGGAGGAAGCAAACAGGCCACTTCCTACACATGTATGATGGTCAGATGTTGAGATCTACGTATGGTGGAGACCACTGAATTGAATTTAATTCAAAATAATTAGTTACAAGTGATAATATCAGCTTGCCAATTTTAGGTAAATCTGAATTTCTAAAAAAGGTTAAAGAACATATTTGTTTTTCTTTAACTACATTCGAGCTGCATGGACTCCAGCAAACAGTTATATATAACTTTAAACTTACATCATTACACATTGTATAGATTAAAACAATGGTTTTATTAGTTTTGGCACCAAAACACTGTTAAAGACAAACTGCTTGAGGAACACCAGGGACCTGAGAAACAGGATCTGATGCCGTCCCTCATCACGCTGTCTGTTGTTTTACATTTGTCTGGTTTTTAAACTCACAGGTTTAAAAACTCCACCGCTCATCTGCGTTTTACTGGCAAATTTGAATTACTGGGAATTAAAAAAAGAACACTGAGTGTCTCTCCCAACATCTGGTTTCCACAGCATGAGCATGGTTTTATCCACCAGATGATGAGCTTTACCTTTGTCCTGAGAGGAGCCTGTCCCAGCTGACACTGGATGAGAGGCAGGAGACGTTCTGGACATTCATGGCAACACAAAGAGACAGACGACCTGCACAACCACACAGGCCAGTCTCACCAGATAACTGATGTGCATGACTTTGGAGCGAACACCACATAGAAAGAGCTGAGCAGCAGGTTTGATGCCTCGGCTTGTCGCTGTGGGCCAATAACACCTGTTTATTCTCCAGTGGATTAAAAGCAGAATACCTTCAGAACAACACACACCACAGCATCACAAAGGCAGCGACATTCAGTATAGTTTATTTTACACATATACTTTACATGATACAAAAATACTGATCACAGTGTATTTCCATTAAAAATACTGAAACTGTATTAGACAGAGGTTGAAAAATAACATTTAATAAATTATATAATCAATATCTGAAGAATACTGAGCCATAATCAATACAAAACCAAATATTCAGACAGCATTTCCAAACAGGGATCGACTTCTCCTCTCAGTCCTTCTGTCCAGTCCTGGGCTGCAATCCCTCGCTTTCCCGTTGAGCATCCTCGTAGTAGAATCAGTGCACGTCTCACCTCCAGACCACCAGAGTTTCCCGTATCTGCTGTCCAATCACGAAGCTCCCCCACGTTCACCAGGGTCCACACACTTAGCTGCCATCACAGCTGACTGGGAGAGCAGCAGGGCTACAGGGGATGGATGCCCAGTTCTACCTTTACAAGTTCATTATCTGTTCTTTAGCATCTTGTTCGTGTCTCATGAGCGTGTCGGAGGTCAGTCCAGCCGTCTCCAGTGGGATGGAACGCAGCGGCAAACCTCCTCGCTGAAGAAGAAACCCGGTTCACACCTTCTCCTTCTGACCTCACAGGGTGGCCGGAGACAACTGCAACGACATGGAAAGAGCAGGAGTTAGCTTCAAAACCAACAGCAAGTTAGGTTAGGTGGATAAAACAGGCAGGCACTGGTCTGCAGGACCGGTAGGAGATGGTCACGTTGCTCAGATCCACCACTGAAGTCACAAACAGACAGTTTTGGTTTTATTTCTGTGGGTTCACCCCAAAGCTGACCACTGCCAGGTCATTCAGCCTCGTCCACGCTGGAGGATGTTCAGCTGGTTGAGATCGCAAACGACAGCAGCCTTAAAAGTCTGCTTCAGACAACTTTACATTTCTGCATGTTCTGGATTAAAATCAAATATCCTGAGATCACTACTGCTCTCAACATCCCATCTCTGTGAAGCTTTTCTGCATTGACAGGAGGAATCAGTCGTCGCTGTTGCTCATCACACCTAGAAACCAGCTCAGGGCTCCCACTGGTTCTGCATCACAGTGAGTCACAAGTAAAGGTGACATCAGCTGATAATATGAAACATACATCCACCATTAACAATAAGTCATTGTGTTTGTTTACAACACTTTTCAAATACAAAAAGCGGTTATTATTATTATGTGTGCAATGAGCGGTCCAAAGAAAACTCTCAGTTGAAGCCGGTCCGTTTGGGGATTTAAAGGATCATAAATCGAGACGCAGTCGGCTCGTTTGTTTTCATATTCGTTCTGGTTTAAACGTGCAGTTCGTCCTGCAGGTATTTCATCTTCTCCGAGGGTCCTCAGTTTCCATCCAGAGATAAAAAACAAATCTACAACCTGCACTAACATTCATGAAAAATGACCCACTGAGCAGATTCACTAAATTCAAACCCCTGAGCAGTGCGACAGTACAAGACAGAGGATCAGCAACATCTCCAGGGTTCATCCTCTGGGTAATGTCGGTACCATCTGCTGTGGAGGTGTTTCAGTCCAGACAAAACAGGTCACCTGACCAACCATCAGGTCTACCAGGTATCCTGCAAACACGTCACGCTGCAACACGATTTCTGTTTGATCTAAAAAGAAAACTCAGTGAAGAGGAAAACAAAATGTGACATCGTGGGTTTGCAGCTACAGAAAGGATCACGCTGACCAAAAGCAGCTGCCACTGCATGAGGCAACAGGAACAATTAGCTTGACCATCAAAGAGTCTAGAAACAAGTGTAAAGTCAGATCTGCCATCCAGAGACGGGAGCTGTGTCGGATGACTTTACAGTCTGACACTATATGAGATCAAATGGCTTCTTCAGCTTTTTTATTTTATGATAGATGTGCTCACCTTAAAATAAATCCTCCTAATCATTCTAAAATCAATCATTCTTACCAAATAGAGCCAATCAGGTCCTCTGGTGAAGACTTTTGTCATTTTTCACAGAAAAACAGAATTTCACAGCATTGTGCAGAAACTACACAGAAATCCCCTTGAAACCTTCCTCCAGGTCCCTGAGTAACGTCGACATCCTAAAACTATGACAGGTCATTAAACACATACTATTCCATACTTTAATTAGGTCCCAAACATCAAAGGTTATGACGAGGGTTAAGTTTTCGTAGCAGCACCACCTTTAGAGCCACTCGGTGCCGTGCAGCCCGGAGCGTTCACCGGGCCGAGACATGAACGTGAAGAAATGTTTTACAGTTACCTCTGACTGGTCTATGAAGCTGTAAGACCCCGCTGTCAGAGTTTTAATCTAACAAAACCAAATAATGGACTGCTTTGGTTTGCTGGACCCAGAAGCATGAGTTCCTGCCTCGTATGGTACAGCCTGTGTCTGGTGTCTGCTGCGCTTCCAGCTGCTCAGACGGTGGATAACAGAATATTCAGTCGTGGCTATTTCAAGAGACCTATCAGCCCTCAAGACACGCTTTCTTTGAATCACACATGCTCACGGTCACGCTCACAGACGAGCGCCTGATCCCAGACACTAGATTCCTGCTGCTGAGCTCCACTCATAAATCACTCTGGAGCGAGGTCACAGAGGGTCACCAATGGACGGCATGGATGGATGTGTGTATTGGTGGGTATATTTCCTCCTGTGCATAGAGAGGAAATGGTTAAGTGACAGCTCGGAGGAGTCATTAGCACACTGAGGTCTTGTATTACACACCGGGTTCACTGCAAAAACCACCTATTACTGCCCGGTGGTGACTGCTGGAAGATGATGCGACCACTGACCAATGAAGACCTTCCCCTGTGGAGTGCCTTCCTGTAACTACAGTGACATGGAAATCATTATGAAACTAACTGACACATCCTGTAATTTAGCTGAATAATGTGGCGTCACAGACGGTGGTGATGTGATAGTGTGGATGAATGCTAGCATCAGTAAATGGGTCTGTGACACACGGATGGATAAACGGTCGGATGGACCACAGAGGCAACGATAGATAAAACAATTAGCTGATGGATACATGAACGGACGGGGAAGCCAGCGGACTCAAAACATTTTGAGATGACGATACAAAAACTGAAAACTTTGAAAAACATCCGTCCCTTATAAAAAACGACAACAATAAAGAAGTGAAGGAGCAGATGTTGTTAGCATGAGCAGCTCTGTCCAGGTCCTGTAGCATCTCAGTGGGTTTGAGATCCAGACTGTGACTAGGCCCCTACAAAGCTGGATCATTTCCGTGATGCATAACCCAGCTGTGCTTGGGCTTCGACTCAGGACTCACCACTACACGTAACCCAGAAGCAGCAGAGCATCATCACGACGCTGCACCGCCGCGTCCATCCTCACCGCTACCTAGGACAACGGTTTCTGTAGAACTCTGTGTTTGTGCCAGATGTAACCAAACATCTGTCCAAAGGTTCTGCATGGTCAGTTCATAGGGCGTTGTTCCAGAAGGTCTACTGGTCATCCAGGTTTGTTGGGGCCACATTCAGGTTGCCCTGCATGTTCTGCTGGGTTAGGAGTGGCTGTTGCTTTGGCACTCGTCCATGATGCCGTTGTTTTTTCTTACAGAGCGTGGAGAGGGCTGTAGCTCTCTGGATGTTTTCCTTGGATCCGTGTAATCACAGTGATCTTTGAATGTTGGTTCACTGTTGTTCCGAGTGTTCTCTGTGTGCAGACGTCACTGTGGATCTGTGAAGTCCCACATCCTCAGGACTGGTTCTGAAACCCGTTACAGGCTGATGTATTTCAGTCACATTCTGGAAATCTGTTGATGTTCTGCTCCTGGTGCGACCATTTAGCCAACGTCCTGCCTCTGATCGTGGTCTATTTAAAAGTGCTGATGTGACTGAGACACGGCTGCTCGTCATCAGGCTGCAAACCACTCATCAATGCAGTCGGTGGAAAGTACCTCAGTCAATGAACTTAAGTTTTGAGTGATCTGTAGGTTGAATATGTCTACGCAGCCCAAACTACACATGAAGTAGTTTAAAGTAGCTCCACCTGCAGCAGCAACAACAGCTCTCAGGTTGTTAAATGTTCTACAGTTTAGTAGGAAACACATAAACAGAAGAAACCAGGAGGAGGTTAAACTAAGTCAGCCTACACAGCACCGTAGCCTTAGTCCTTAACTTAGTCTCAGGTTTCTCTGTACATCTCCTGTAAACTGTTCTAGATGCACAGGTCCTTACCTGCACGTGGCTTGGTGAAACCGCCGTCCTTTTAGGAAACACTTATTGGGCGACTCGTTGCATTCGCAGGAACACTTTGTTTTGTTGAGAGGCTGGTGCCGTGGACACGTCCTGCTGCACGTGCACTGGCAGGTCTCCTTGTTGAAGATGTGGTTCAGAGGGCAGGACGGCGCCGGTATCACGTTGCATACGCACTGACAGGTGTTGTGGTTCAGGTGCCGGTTCGGGCCGCAGTCACGATTCTCGTCCCCACGCCTGCACACACACTGACAGCTTTCCACGTTCAGCTCCTTATCGGGGCCACACACATCTGCAGAGAACATGTCTGTGGAACCAGACAGAGGGAGACACACAGATGGAGCCGGTTATCGAACAGAGTCTGGACAGGAAGTGGAGACAGAGAGAGCACACGCACCGCTTTACTGACACACTTTGCTTATCTTCATACCGACGCGTGTGTTCTCTAGAAGTTGTGTGAATGTTTTCCCAGCACGAGTCAGTGTTACCGTCATTAGGTTTATTAGAAATGGTCTCAACATGATATGTAACATACAACCGATGTGAGTCCAGCAGAGACCGGTGAGTGCTGCAGAACCTCTACGGACGCTGTGCTAGAAATAAACAAAACAAACAATGAAATGTGAACAAAATACATAATTTGAAGGAAATAAAAACATACATGTGAGTAAATATATTGTAATTGTAGTAAACTAAACAACCAAATATTTATATTGTTGTTGTGTTTGGTAGATACGAGGAGTACTAATATGAATAGTAATTCTGTGTACAGACTGTCCCTGAAGCCTCCTCCACATCCTTTCATGTCCATGACACCCCGCTGCGTTAGATGCTGGATCATAAATAGAGCTTACATACGGCGTCTGTCATGGAACGATAGTTTAAAAACCAGAAGCCAAGGTGTGTGAACGATGGGGGTTGGGGATAGGACAAAGAAAGAACGACCAAAAAACACTTGAACTTTGCACAATCTCAGAGCGCATTGTGGTTAGCTTTCAATCTGATTTCTGATTTAGTTGGACAGCCGCTGCCGGAGGTCAGTGATCTGCAAACACACACACGGATACAAACACAGCGCACACACACACACTGCTCACTACTGGAGTGGACGACATCGTCTCTGCTGACCCAAAGCAACAAATCTGTGGTTGCTCCATCTCCAGTTACGCCACGTTATTTGTGACTGTTGTTTTTGGGAAGCTCCTGTTCTTTGTTCGGAGGAGGAACGTCGCACAAAACAGGATGTCGCAATGCAAGAAAAATAGAAAGACTAATAGAAGAAACACATTCGTCTTGTAGGGACGGTGATGCAGTGGTTAGCACCGTGGCCTCACAGCTAGAAGGTCCTGGGTTAGAATCTCCTCAGATCTTTCTGCGTGGAGTCTCCATGTTCTCCCCGTGCAGCGTGGGTTCTCTCCGGGTTCTCCGGCTTCCTCCCACAGTCCACAAACATGCTGAGGTTCATTGGTGATTGTAAATTGTCCGTAGGTGTGAGTGTGCTGGTTGTCTGTGGCCCTGCGACACACGGGATCCAGCAACGGATGTAATAATTGGCCCTGAAAAGTGAATCCAACCCAGAAGTGTCAGAACCTGCAGTACCACGTGTGTCGCCAGCAGCTGGCTCCAGAACGCCGTGGTTCCAACACACACTTGTGTCGTACGCTGTGTTTATAAGCAGTCACGTACGTGTTCGCTGAGCTGGTGGACGGCTGACGGAGTGTCCAGCAGACAAAAGGTTCAGGCCATAAACCACATTCTGATGGTTTTATGCTGCTTCTGTGCGAGTGGAGATGTCGGCCTCATGATGGGATTGGAGCAGAGGTCACACGTAAGCCTCCTAATTACCCACTCAGGCTTCTGCTTCTGAATCTGGTTCCAGCAAAAACCAAAGACCTCTAAAAGCATCCCCTGGTACTCATCCCAGACAGACTGCTGTGTTCAACACACTGCGTTAGTGCGTATCTGTGGCTATCTGTGAAATCTGGAGTCTCCACATTCTTCTGCTTCTCTTTTGTTTACACGGAGTCAAAAGAGTGTAATCACAGTCAAACACACAAACACACAGACGCTCAGCTAATCCACGGCAGTCATAAATACTGCTCAATGAACAGACGAACCTCCTCAAACACCAACACTGAGACGTGACTCTGCTAACAGCTCGCTGGCTGCAGCGCTTGGTAGACGTGGTGCTAACAAACCACAGCCATCACTCCTGTCTATTGACAGCTACTCGTCTGTGCTGTATGAGTTGGTCTGTTCAGTCCAGTCTACTGGATGGAGTCAGATGGAACACGGTGCCTCCTACAGGGAACCCTCGCTTCACCGGCAGCGTCCAGTAAATGTGCTCACGTGCATTCAGACCAAGTTGCTGTGAGGAATCAAAGCCCCTTAAAGCAGACGTAGACTCAGGCAGCAGCATGAAGGCTGTTTAAATGTTGATGTGACGGTCAGCGGCGTCGGTGGTGGTTCTGTTGTTTGACCCGTTCATTTATGAAACCTCATCACTGGAATAATCACAAAACACCTTCTACACAAGGCCATCATCAAGTTAACATTTTGAGGTAAATTTCATTTACAAAAACGTTGCTCGAGTGTAAAATGAACGAGGTTGTGAGTGCAGAGCTTGAAGCAGCCGTCAGCAGACAGAACAAAGCTGTTACACTGACTGCTGACAGGACCATCACGCTGCATCATGGAGGTGCTGTTAGCAGATATGAAGAGTCAGATTCTGCCCAGACAGCTCAGATATTGTTTCCTTAGACCAGAGAATCTTTTAAACCTCTTAACTCTGTTGTCCCCACGTGCCTTTAAGTTGTGGCTGTGCGACCATGAAGGCCTGGTCGATGAAGTCTTGAAGTCTGTTGGGTTCTCTGCCAGCTCCCTGACTGAGGCCCTTCTTGCTCTGCTGCTCATGTCGGCTGGATGACCAACTCTACGATGAGTGCTGCTGGTTCCAGACCTTTCATTCAGGCCGATGTGCTTCTGGGAACCCTGAAGCCTCAGAAACAGTTTGATACCTTTGCCCTGATCTGGGCCATAGTCCCATCACAGACACTTTATTGGACTTCACACCTTTCATTTAGTTATTTATTGTCCTGATGTGTAGAATGAACTTTTCTATCCACAGCTATCTCCCTTTTTAAACGACGTCCAATCTGTTTAATTTACCGCTGGTGGACTCCAGTCAAGCTCTAGACACGAGGATTGTTAAAGCAAACAGGATGCAGCACATTGGAAAGCCACTGGCTGACACGAGGACGGCATGGTGGGACAGTGGCTAGCACAGAGCTACCAGGTGTACAGCGCAGTGATGGAGGGCTCACCACCGGCAGCCATCTTTGTTTTCAGCTCTCTTGTATGAGCATCATATAGTCATGAACTGAACTGACAAACTTGGATTGATGTCCTTGATGTACGAGCAGAAATCTAAACTCCAGCCCTCTCGTTACCGTCTATGCTGCTCATCACAGCTCTTTATTTGGTTGGCGGTGCACGATTTCCCTCCTATCAAGTCAGCCACATGTCTGTCAGCAGCTAAAATGATTGTTTTCTCTTTTTGTCTTTTGTAGGCTACTTTAGGGAAAATAAGCAACCGTAGCTTCCTCTGCAGTGTTTTCTGAAGAAATTACACAATAAACCTCGGTGTAGAACTGTGTAAACACTCACCCAGATGCTGCTGGGACGGCCTTGGAGGTGGCAGCGGCGGAGGAGGAGGGTTGAGCTGCATGTTGGCGGCTGTGCATCGACACTGCTTGTTGCTCCATGTGTGAGCAGGAGGACACGTCCTGTTGGCTAACGGACACCTTCAACAGAGACCAACGGAAAGATTAGAAATGCTTAGTTTCCTTAAACCAGCAGTTAATCAGATGATGTATGCTGTAGGTTTTGTAAAGGATTGAACAGAGACTTCTGTCCTGTCAGCAGATCACATTGAGTTTCATTGCTGTTGTTTCCGTGGTCGTCTGGGTCTTTGAGTGTCGCTGAGCTCATCAGTGCCTTCTTTCTTTTTAGAGTGTACCCAACAGTTGGTTTGTCCACAACTAGTGGTTTTGCTTTCTGCTGGGTTTGTTCTGGTGTCTAATGATGGCTCGCTCCACTGACAGCTTGTTGGACTTCATACTGAGCGTGGACCTCACCGGATTCCAAACACAAACACCACTTGAAACGAACACATCTGGTCAGATCCTGACTTGAATTTGGCTCCAAAACTTTGTCCAAAAAGAAAGTCACTGGAATGCAACGCCAGTTTATGCGGGTCTTCTGTGGTATTTTATGGAGTCAGGCTTTTTATAACTAATCTACGGCTTCTTACTTGATGTCTTCAGTTAACTCCTACTAAGCAGAGTGCTGCCTTTCTCCTCACATTGTTCCAAGCTGCTCACTTGATGTATTATTCCAGTTGTGGTATTCTCAAAAAACTTTTGTTTCCTCCTTTTGAGACGTTTTCTGCCGTAGTCATGTATCTAGTCTTCATGCTGGTGTGTGCTTTCTCACTCCAACTGGACTAAATATACCCGCTGCATGAGGACAAACATGAGCAACAAGCTGGAGCTGTCGGCCCGTCTTTAGCTTCACATCTAAGAAGAAGTGGACTCCACATTAAAACTAAATCACTGAATGTACGGCCGTATAAACAGTGTGAAATCGAAGCTCTTAGTCTCTGTTCTTGTCTCTTTGTTATGTTTTAATCTCAAAAAGCTAAAGCAGCAGAAGTGTTGGAGGACGCTGTGTATTGGTGTTGAGTTCACTTGTGTCTGCATCCCCTGAAGGTCAAAACTCAGTCACTGTAGGTTTAATCATGGGAAGAAAAGGCCAGATTTCTTCAACACATCTGGTGCAATCTTTTGAGAAATACTCGTTTTGCATGATCCTTAAAATGCAATCCGCAAAGTCTAAATGTCACAAAAAACTGATGTCAACCAGCCAGAGGATGAAGCCTCCCTTTCTATCTGATCTCACACACTGAGCATTTAATTGGCTCAAGGAATGGGATTCCTCTGATGTGCATGTGTGGGGGAAGTGTGCAGTTTGGCCATGATAAGCCAGCTGAAGGACTGCAGACAAACACCTCGATCAAAGGAGGACTTCTTGGGTTTGCCTCAATCAGACGGCCAGCGGGGAGAAAGTACGTCTGTGTATGTGGAAGCAGACACTGGAGGAGAAAGCTTCAGCTCACCGACTGGCTAAAGCAGGGGTCTCGAACTCCGGTCCTCGAGGGCCGCAATCCTGCAAGTTTTAGATGTTTCCTTCTTCCAACACACCTGATTCAAATCATCAGGATGGTTATCAGGCTTCTGCAGCGCTTGATGATGAGCTGATCATTTGAATCAGGTGTGTTGGAAGAAGGAAACATCTAAAACTTGCAGGATTGCGGCCCTCGAGGACCGGAGTTCGAGACCCCTGGGCTAAAGGTTTACTCTGGTGAAATGGAAGGTCATATATTTTCAATTCAATTACATTTATGTAGCGCAGTTCACAGCATGTCACTGGAACAGAGAACCCGACAATCCAGAGTTGCTGAGCAAGCGGTCGGTGGGAAGGAGCGAACCCCAACAGGGAGGGAAAGACACTCAGACAGAACCAGGCTCAGGGAAGGCAGCCATCTGCCCCGACCGGCTGGGTGAGGGTGGGGATGGGGGGGTGGGAGATAGGATCCATCCATCCATCATCTATACAGCACTTCATCCTCACTCGGATCATGGGAGCTGGAGTCTATCAGTCTATTGGAAACGCCCGCTCACTGCTGCCCCGTCGGACCGAATGCTCAGCAGGAACCACCCCCCCTCCTCCTCCCGCTGCAAAAACGGTGCCGTGACCACCAACCTAAACACCTAAACTGGTCTGAGGAGCCAAACCCTGGCCGTGCGTCCCGCCCACTTCCAGCCGGCGGTATCAGATGGTGCCGTAGGACGGACATGAGAGGAGACCACAGAGAGCCACGATGAAATCAGAGAAGCAGCTGCATCAAAACCAAAGCAGCATATCTTCAAATGTTTGTTCTCAGTCACAAATTGTTAAAAACAGAAGTCATGATGCTGCATGATGCTGAACAGCAGATCCACCAATCAGACGGCCAATCATATTTTCAAAACACATTTTTTAGCAGCTGTTGCTACTTTCTGTTTACAGCACCGCTACTCTCACACTCATCATCTTCATACAAAAAATGACTGTTTGAAGTGGAAGCTCCTCCAGATCCTGATGCTTTATACCAGCACAGCGCTGCCAGGGTTAGAGTTAGAGGACACCTCCTCTGCTCTCCTCTCTGCAGGAACTACATCTGAACCATCATGTCAACACATATTGCAATATTACATTTCTCAATAGTTTGTGCAACATCAGCTTCAGAATCACGTGTAATATATCACATCCATGTACAGCGTCTACAGCATTTTCATTTCATGATCATGTGAACGTATTACCTCAGCATGACTCTCTCCTGTTAGCCTACTCACTGTGCTCCAGTCATGTACCAGGCTTCCATCTTATGTGTTATGTCTGAGGAACATCTCAGTTCTATTTTATCTCATCTTTTCTTATTTTAATTAATATAACTTTTGCAAACATTTGCAAAAAAAAAAAAAAGGAGAAGAAAAGAAAACTTTTAATATCCACAGAACTAAAAACAAACTCAAACCTGATGCTGAATTACTTCAGAAATAAAATACCTTGTTTGGATTTCCTGAACCTGCCAAGAAAAATATATTTCCTCTGAAAATACTGTACA